TTAAAAATCAATCGCATGATATTCATTAAATTGCTGAAAGATTATATAATTGTATTTATGTTATGTATTTTAAGACATATGTGTTACTTTAAATAATTTTAATAATTTATTATATAACGTAACAAAAAAATATATCTTTGTTTTTCTAAAGTATCCTCAAAATTATATGACACATATCATCTCCATAATCATAAAATATATCATTGTTTTTTCTATGTGCTTTTTTATATTACGTTTTAATTTGCTGGGAATAAACAATTCTGATTATTTAAATATGCCTGATATATATGGCAGGGCATTATGTATACAATTAATTATTACAAGAGACCGTCAATTATTTAATTTTTTAAAAAAGTCGAATAATTTTTTATTTTTATTAAAAAATATTACAAAGTGTATGGGAAGGGAAAATACAATTTATAATTTCATTATAAATATAATTTTTTTTCGTTTTTATCAGGTAAAACTTAATTTTATACCAAAATATTTGTACTGTTACTTCTGCTGATGTTAAGTAAAGTATTTTTTAAATTATTTTTCCATATCTAAAACCTTTTTCGAGAACCGTTTTCTGTTATTTTTTAATATATTTTGAAGAATTAGCATTTATTAAATATAATAATATAGGTTACAAATAAAAAAAGAACAAAATATTATTTTAAATAGTTTAGATTCTATATGATTACCGTATAATAAACATACAAACAATAGATATTTAAAAATTTTACAGAAATTTGTTTTTAGATAATTTTCTATTGCATGTTTAACGATAAATGAAAATTAATCATTTCATTTAGCCTATAATTGAAGTTTTTTAATGAAAAATATTATGAGCAATATTATTCAGAGCTTTTTTTCTTAATTTTTACGATTTTGTTTAACTTTTTAATCAACTTTCAATTAAAATTCTATTACATTTTATTTAAAAAAAAATACAATACTATATAATATTTAAAAGAAAAATACAACTAAAACTATAATTTAAATGTTATTAAAAATTTTATTAATGAAAAGTCGAAAGTCTATCATGAAAGAATGTAATTAGAGCTGTGCGTTGATGCATACGTATTATCTATGAGAACATCTTCTTTGTGAATTTTTTTTGAATGATTTGTATGACACTTTTTTTAATATATAAAATACGAAAAAATGTGGTACGTAATATTTATATCATCAAACTTTTTTAATTTTTAATATTAAACACTAACAGATTATATAAATTAAAAGGAATTAAGAATATATATCTAGAATTAAGAATATATGTATATCTGTTTCAAAATGAACAAAAAATTATAAAAAATTATAACTCTTCAAATAACGACTTCCAAACAAGTCAAAATTGATCGTTAAAAGAACATCAAAGTCAACACAAGGTAACAACGCAATTATATATTAATTCACTTTACATGTGTTGATAAACGTTTTGAAGTCATGTATTTGATCATCTTTAGTATCACAATTAAAAACAAATATTAAATACAATGTTAAATACAATATTAAATACAATGCTACTTACAATATATATTACGTTGTAATCGTCTACAATACTATAAATAATTCCGACCTTGTATAATCTGGATGTCTATACGAATCGCTTAACTTGAATCTCAATATTTTATGTGCAAAATTAAATTCTATCAAATTTATACATAGACGATTTTTCATAAAGACAGATATTATAATATAACAATCTTTTCAGATAATATCGGCGACCTTTTCCTATATACACACACATATACATATCGATATATATATTATATATCAACAGTATGCGCTAGTCATTTAGTCACGGTTGCGGCGGCACCGATCGGCGCGTATTATATAAAAACGATATCTCTGACTGTCTGAATCTTAGAAACAGATATAAAAAACGTTTTAGATAAAAGTTGTAAAATATTAAGAGGAACAGAGGAAAATATGGACTTGATCTTGAGTGATCTTTTCAAGGCTAAGTCAATGTGATCGATTTTCTTAAATTAAACCTCTCATTTTTTATTGCATATTCTTGTAACTTACTTCAAAAGCTTTTCGAAACATTACAGTAAAGTATTTTTTTAATCATTTTTCCATATTTAAAACTGTTTTCGAGATTCAGAAAAAAACTTTTCTTTGTCCATTTTAAAAGTAGTCCAGTTTAAAAATAGATAATAGTGATAAAAAATGATAGCTACTTGAATGTTGTCCTGTTAAGTGTCGCCTAATAGTGCGTTTTGAAGAGACGTTATATTAACACTATTCTGTCATTCTATCTTCGTTGTTTATTAGATGTAAAACGAGGATAGACTGATACAAATAGCGTCTCTCCAAATGCATCTAGGATGGCGATATACTATGATACATCGAAATATCGATTTTCTTCACCTGATATAGCGATTTTTTTAATCAATATTTCAGCCTCAGATATATTTTCAAATATCGATATTGCATCGTATCGATATTCGATATAGGTGAAATTTCGAATTTTTTCAATCGCAAATCTTTCGAAAACGCCGACTTGCGCCGATTATGTCGCAACTCAAATGACCTATCAGAAACTCGCATTAATATTGCACTGACAATGATTAAGCACTGCCAATAGCGTACTATTACGCGAGTCTCTAATTAGCTTGAATTACGACAATCGACGCAAGCCGGCATTTTCGAAAGCTCGAGAAGTTTATTTAGTAGACATTACAGACATCTTTAACTTCTTCAAGTCACCGCGTATTTCGTTTCAGTTTACATCATCTCGTGTAATATAATATATTTTTCGAAAAGTGTTTCAAAAAATGTCAACTTTGAGTGCGCTTTTAAATCTCATATTAAGATCCTCCTATTTATCTGGACATGCTCTGGGATACTTGTGCTCACTCCAATGAGCATGTAGAAGCATGTTGAGGGTGTTGCAGCGCGAGATGCGAATTTAA